AACCATTTTAAAAAGAAAGAGTTACAACCTCAGAATTATTTTAGTGCCCATGTCATATTTCAGGCCTGGGTTACAAGTTCTTGGAGTTATAGCAGAAAACACAGGCACAGAATTCATAGAATCATAGAATCATAGAATCAAAGAGTTGGAAGAGACCTCATGGGCCATCCAGTCCAACCCCCTGCCAAGAAGCAGGAATATTGCATTCAAATCACCCCTGACAAATGGCCATCCGGCCTCTGCTTAAAAGCTTCCAAAGAAGGAGCCTCCACCACACTCCGGGGCAGAGAGTTCCACTGCTGAACGGCTCTCACAGTCAGGAAGTTCTTCCTAATGTTCAGATGGAATCTCCTCTCTTGTAGTTTGAAGCCATTGTTCACGTCCTAGTCTCCAAGGAAGCAGAAAACAAGCTTGCTCCCTCCTCCCTGTGGCTTCCTCTCACATATTTATACATGGCTATCATATCTCCTCTCAGCCTTCTCTTCTTCAGGCTAAACATGCCCAGTTCCCTAAGCCCGCTCCTCATAGGGCTTGTTCTCCAGACCCTTGATCATTTTAGTCGCCCTCCTCTGGACACATTCCAGCTTGTCAATATCTCTCTTGAATTGTGGTGCCCAGAATTGGACACAATATTCCAGATGTGGTCTAACCAAAGCAGAATAGAGGGGTAACATTACTTCCTTAGATCTAGACACTATGCTCCTATTGATGCAGGCCAAAATCCCATTGGCTTTTTTTGCCGCCACATCACATTGTTGGCTCATGTTTAACTTGTTGTCCACGAGGACTCCAAGATCTTTTTCACACGTACTGCTCTCGAGCCAGGCGTCACCCATTCTGTATCTTTGCATTTCATTTTTTCTGCCAAAGTGGAGTATCTTGCATTTGTCACTGTTGAACTTCATTTTGTTAGTTTTGGCCCATCTCTCTAATCTGTCAAGATCGTTTTGAATTCTGCTCCTGTCCTCTGGAGTATTGGCTATCCCTCCCAATTTGGTGTCATCTGCAAACCTGATGATCCTGCCTTCTAGCCCTTCATCTAAGTCATTAATAAAGATGTTGAACAGGACCGGGCCCAGGACAGAACCCTGCGGCACTCCACTTGTCACTTCTTTCCAGGATGAAGAGGAAGCATTGGGGAGAATCACCCTCTGGGTTCATCCATTTAACCAGTTACAGATCCACCTCACCCGTAGTTTTGCCTAGCCCACATTGGACTAGTTTCCTTGCCAGAAGGTCATGGGGGACCTTGTCGAAGGCCTTACTGAAATCCAGGTACGCTACATCCATGGCATTCCCCGCATCTACCCAGCTTGTAACTCTATCGAAGGAACTTTAACTGAACCAGCTCTAATGGGGCAAAACTGGGGAAGGGGCCCAGCTGAGCCCCATACAAGAGTTGGGCTAATGACTTAGCTTCAAACAACATGCATAAAAATTGTCGCCATAACACACATATATTAAAAGTAATATTGCCTGTTCAAGGCCAAAAAAATTTAAAAGGCTGGGCCAAGATTTGTGCAAGCCCAAAAATTCTAGGGAGCCTGGGAATTAAATACAATGCTATAGCAGGCAACAATAATATTAGGTACGGGTCTGTGGCTGTTCATTTCAGGGCCGACTAGAGGAAATGATCTGGGTAATTGGTAGGAAGAATAAGGCCTAGAGAAGTCTACTCTCTCAGCCTCAGAGGAAAACAATGCAAACCTCTTCTGAACAAACCTTGTCAGGAAAACCCTGTGTACCTTCAAGTCAGAAATGTATTCAAGGCACACAACAACTAGGACAAAGGTTTATCTGGATTTTTGTTTTGTTTTAAAGCAATGGTTATTGTAAAGGTTCTAGCCAAGTTCTAGACAGACAACTTTGTGTTTCATGAATAAACTCTTACTTTACTGTACTATTGTTTATTATATTTATATATCACGTTTGATCCCATGAGATAAAGGAATGCGTGTGTGCATGTGCATGTATATGTGGGACTAGAATGCTACTGTGCTTAAAAAACAATAAGCCATGAACTGTGGCTTGATTACTCCAGGTCTTAGGGTGCATCTGCATTGTAGAATTGATGCAGTTTGACCCCACTCTGACTTCTAGGGCTCAGTGCATTGGAATCATGTGAGTGTTAGTTTTACAAGATCTTTAACCTTCTCTCCCAAAGAGTGCAAGGTGCCTTTACCAAAGGATTCCATAGCATTGAGCAGTTCAAGTGGTGTCAAAGTGCATCAATTCTTTATACTGTGTAGATGCACCCTTAATAACAGTAGGAGGGGAAGAAACAGGAAACAAACACAAGAGAAGCAATGGAATGGATGACTATCTTAAAAAAGAAGGTATTGCTGGCTGGATCTATGAAGAAAAGCATTTCTTCAGTGCCACACTTTGATTCCCCCCCCCTCCCTTGTTTCTTACTATTTATTTTGTGGGTGGCAACCAGAGGAACGTGGTTTTATAGATTTCGCAATAACCTCAGTAAGATTACCTTTGCTTTATTTACAAATGCTCATTTCCTGTGTGTGGAGCTATATATCTTTTTTTTTCCAGAACACCGAGCACACATCCTTTGGGGATGTGTATAAATCACAAGTCTCCAAACGCAAGTCTCTCTCCTTCAGAATGGATTGTCAGATTCTTTTTAACAGAGAGCTTTTTCGTTATCACATTGCTGGCAGGTCATGGAAGGGCTGAAACTCACTTGGGAGAATAAGCAGGAGACTTGCCAAGGCAGTTTAAGGAGAGGCAAATAGTGTATAACAGCCAGATCCAAGATACAGTATATGGGCCTGGGTAGAAAGCTAGGAAACTGCTTTAGTACCCTTGAGAGACCTTGGAGGACCACACTTGTTCCTGCAAGAAAAGCAAATTGCACCAACATCTCTCCAGGGCCCCTTCCACACAGCTGAATAAAATCCCACATTTTCTGCTTTGAACTGGAATATATGGCAGTGTGGACTCAGATAACCCAGTTCAAAGCAGATATAGTGGGATTTTCTGCCTTGACTTATATGGCAGTGTGGGCCCTCAGACATATGGAGCATTTTCACAATGTTTGGCCTTCAAAAAGGACTCCTTGGGCCAAACTGTCAAATTATGGTGGGAATGTACACAACACTGTTTAGTGGACATTGTTGAACTATGTTGAACTCGCTGCCCTAAGTCGCCTTCGGGCTGATATGGGCAGGATAGAAGTAATGTAAATAAATAAAATAAATAAAATGTCCATGTTTATGTATATATAAGTATTAAATATAATTTAATTTAAAATATCAGAGGAAAAGAAATATTTCAGGTCAAAAGTGTTTGAAACCTTTCAAAGCAAACATTGTTTTTAATTCCTAGGGGCATGGAGCACCCAGTGGCGCAATGGGTTAAACCCTTGTGCCGGCAGGACTGCTGTCCAACAAGTCACCGGTATGAATAAGCAGCGAGCGGGTTGAGCTCCCTCTGTCAGCTCCAGCTCCCCATGCATGGACATGGGAGAAGCCTCCCACAAGGATGGTAAAAAATCAAACATCCGGGCATCCCCTGGGCAACGTCCTTGAAGAAGATCAATTCTCTCTCAATTCTCAAGTCATTATCGAAGGCTTTCATGGCTGGAATCACTGGGTTGTTGTAGGTATTTTGGGCTATATGGCCATGTTCTATAAGCATTCCCTCCTGATGTTTTGCCTACATCTATCTGGTTGAAAAACTAGCAATTTTTAAATGTGCCAGGGACTGGAACCAATTGGTATTGAAACATTCACACCTAGCTTCAAGAGTTCTTTGCCACACCCTGGTCATTCTACAGATATATAAACCCATTTTCCTAGTTCCAATAGACCTCACAACCTCTGAGGATGCTTGCCATAGATGCAGGTGAAACGTCAGGAGAGAATGCTTCTAGAGCATGGCCATATAGCCCGAAAAACCTACAACAATCCAATTGTCAAGTCACTGTTGCTCCTGACAACACACAGAAAAAATACTAGGGGCCCCTGGATTGCCTTTGGGAAACTCTGGAGCAATATATGACTATATATATATGCACACACACACACATAGGTACATATATTTGTGTGTGTTTGTATGTATATATGCATAAAGAGAGAGAGAGGGAGACTCAGTTGTTTTAGAGGGCCACACTTTGTCCATCCCAGTTCTATACAAGTAAGGGATCCTTACCTATAAATACTATATTAACTCTGGAAATAGTAAAGGTAGTCCCCTGACATTAAGTCCAGTCATGTCTGACTCTGGGGTGTGGTGCTCATCTCCATTTCTAAGCCGAAGAGCCAGCGTTGTCCGTAGACACCTCCAAGGTCATGTGGCCGGCATGACTGCATGGAGCGCCATTACCTTCCCGCCGGAACAGTACCTATTGATCTACTCACATTTGCATGTTTTCGAACTGCTAGGTTGGCAGAAGCTAGGGCTGACAGCGGAAACTCATGCCGCTCAACAGAATCGAACCTGCGATCTTTCGATCAACAAGCTCAGCAGCTCAGTGCTTTAACCCACTGCGCCACCGGGGGCTCCTTACTCTGGAAATAGTTGTGATTAATTGTCTCTCATTGTAGAACTAATGCAGCTTGGCACCACTTTAACTGTCATGGCATAAAAGCTATGGAATCAAGAGGGTGGTGGCTTCACAAGGACTTGATCCTCCCTTGCCAAAGAACGTTGGGAACTCCACACACTACAAATCCCATTATTCTAGATAGTATTCATTCTAGTTCATGCATGGTCAAACTTCAGCCCTCCAGGTGTTTTGTTAAACTGCAATACCGGCTGTTAGGAATTGTGGGAGTTGAAGTCCAAAACACCTGGAGGGCCGAAGTTTGCTCATGCCTGTATTTAGTTGGAGAGGGAAGCTTGTCCAATGACGTCACACGCGCCGCGCGCACACTGGCCCTTCCCCCCAAGGGAGGATTAAAAAAAAGAGCCTTGGCGCCTCCGGAGCCCGGGCGCGAGGCCTCGCGCATGCGCTGAGGAGGGGGCGTGCCCGTCGCGCGCGGCACTTGGCGCGTGGCTCGAGGGCGAGAGGCGAGGATGGCCAAGAGCGCGCTTTCTCCTGTAGTTGCCGCCGGGTACGAGAACAGCTGTACAGACGACGACGAGGATAACGACAATGGCGGCGACGTCTGGGATGTCGGGTGCAATTCGTCGCCTCACAGGAAGGTCAGAAAGAGCTGGGGCGGCCTAGCCTGGCCTTGGGTATTTTCAGACCCAGCAGTCACTCAGTCAAAGAAACAACAACACTTCAGGAGCTTACTTTATTTTATATCCAATTTATTATTATTATTATTATTACTATTACTATTATAATCAACTAGCCGTCCTCTGCCACGCGTTGCTGTGGCCCAGTCTGTGTATATGTGTTTTGTGTGTGTATATATGTGTGTTTGCGTATATATGTGGTTTTGCACATGCGTTGTAATGTATTTTTTTAAAAAATTGGGGCTTTTTAGGTTTCTTCTGTGGTGTTTTTTAGTGTTGTTATGAGTGTTATTATTAAACTTTATTTGTATCCCGCTAGCATCTCCCGAAGGACTCGATGCGGCTTACACAGTCCAAGGCCTCAACACAACAACAGCATAACAACAACAATACAATTCAAAGCAAATCAAAAACATAAAGCAATAACAACAAAACATTACACCATAATACAGTAAAAACCAGGGCCAGGCCAAGTGATGGGTACAAATTAAAAAGTGCTGGGTGTGACAGGTGGTATGTTGGATTTCTGGGCAACTGCAGTGTGCAGAGAATCTTAAACTCTAATAAAGTGCTTCTGGGACATAGTGCTGGGGTTTCGACACAGTGAATCGCAGCGCTCTCTGGACCATCCTCCAAAAAATCGGGTGCCCAAGCAAATTTGTGAACATCCTGCGGTTCCTCCATGATGACATGATGGCAACAGTTTTGGACAGCAGTGGCTCCTAAAGTGACCCATTTAAAGTGGAATCCGGTGTCAAACAGGGATGTGTTATTGCCCCAACTCTATTCTCCATCTTCATTGCTATGATACTTCATCTTGTTGATGGGAAGCTTCCCACCGGAGTGGAAATCATCTATCGGACAGATGGCAAGCTATTCAACCTCAGCAGACTGAAAGCCAAAACCAAGGTTACAACAACATCTGTTATAGAGCTCCAGTATGCTGATGACAACGTCGTCTGTGCGCATTCAGAAGATCTACAAGCCACATTTCTTTAATGGCATAATAATAAGCAATTAAAGCATGTAATACTATGTAACAGTGTAGACTCATACTAATTATATGAGTTTGCACTGTCATATAGTATTATATGTTTCAAAGCAGATTATGTGGTTTATCTGCTTTGATAATCTTGATTATATGGCAGTGTAGAAGGGGCCTCAGTCATGGAAGCTGCAGACCTGAGTTTTCAGGACTGTTGCAAACAGGGCGATTTGGGGCCTTTCCATAAAACCAGAATATCAAGGCAGATAATACACAGATAATATCTGAGAGCCCTTCCACACTGCCTTTTATCCCAGGATCTGACCCCAGATCGTCTGCTTTAAACTGCAATATATGAGATCCCCGCTGCCAGATAACCAGGGATAAACTGATAATCTTTGATCTTGGGATAAAGGAGTAGTGTGGAAGGGCCCTCAGTCCACACTGCCATATAATCTAGTCCAATGTGGATTTTATACAGCTGTGTGGAAGGGGCCTTGGGAGGTCTATATTGTTGGCTTGATGACAATTAACCACCACAACTTAAAGTTATAAAACACATACATGTATGTAATTAATTTTATATGAAAGTCTTTTGAAATTATTTCTTCAAATGCGACATCCTTTTCATTACTCCAGTGATCACTGACATTAAAAAAATAAATAAGGCCCCATCTACGCTCACCATTTTTTTGTAATTAATTTTTTATTTAGATGGATTTAAACAAAACCTTCAATATGAAAAAAATACAAATATGCAAAAAACAAAACAACATCAAAAACAAAATATTAAAAGTACTTTTTCTAGAATACATCCTAAACAAAAAGAAATAACTACAAACAATCTACGTTATCTAATCCAATGGCTTTTCATTTTCAGTCTGGTGGTTATATTTTCCTGGTTTTCTACACCCCTTTGGTGAAAATGAATTATTGGTACATCTTATACCAACATAATATCATACTTCCAGTTTTTTGGGGGTTTTTTTGGTCGTGTCAGGAGCAACTTGAGAAACTGCAAGTTTGAATGTGATATTATGGTTGGAAACCGGTCTGAGTCCCTCAAGAGAGGTTAGAAGGCCGGTATACAAAACTTTTAAATAAATAAATAAATAAATAAATAAAGTCGCTTCTGGTGTGAGAGAATTGGCTGTCTGCAAGGATGTTGCCCAGGGGAAGCCTGGATGATTTGATGTTTTTATCATCCTTGTGGGAGGCTTCTCTCATGTCCCTGTATGAGGAGCTGGAGCTGATAGAGGGAGCTCATCCGCTTCTCCCCGGATTCGAACCTGCAACCTGTCGGTCTTCAGTCCTGCCGGTTCCAGTTAAAAAGAAAATAGTGATAGAGATTTCCCCTTGACATTAAGTCTAGTTGTGTCCGACTCTGGGGGGTGGTGCTCATCTCCATTTCTAAGCTGAAGAGCCGGCATTGTCTGTAGACTCCTCTAAGGTAATGTGGCCGGCCTGACTGCATGGAGCGCTGTTACCTTGCCGCTGCAGCAGTACCTATTGATCTCACATTTGCATGTTTTTGAACTGCTAGGTTGACAGAAGCTGGGAGCTCACCCCACTCCCCAGATTTGAACCGCCAACCTTTTGGTCAGCAAGTTCAGCAGCTCAGTGATTTAACCTGCTTCGTCACTGGGGGCTATTGGCATATCCTCTTATTCTTATATAACCTGGTACAGTAATTGTCGAAGGCAGTAATTGTCGAAAGCCCACGATATGGTTCAGATATGTGGATGACACTTTCACCATTTGGAGCCATGGAGAAGAAGAACTAAACAGGTTCCTGGACCATTTTAACAGCATCCACCCAAACGTCCAATTCACCATGGAAAAAGAAAATGAAGGAAGACTGCCTTTTCTAGATGTCCTAGTCATCCGTAAACCAGATCAACAATTGGGTAACACAGTTTACAGAAAACCTGCACACACAGATAGATATCTACATAAAAACTCCAACCATCACCCGTCAAAAAAGAAGCACAATTAAAGCCTTGGCAGACCGTGCAAAAAGAATCTGCGAACCCCACCTTCTCCAAGATGAACTGAACCACCTAAACTGGGCTCTCCAGGCCAATGGATACTCCACCTCAGACATCAGAAGAGCTACAAGACCGAGAACAAGCCACGAGAGTAAAGATGAAGATCCACCCAGAGGAAAAGTGTTCTTGCCATATATCAAGGGAACCACTGACCACATAGGAAAACTGATGAGGAAACACAACATACAAACCACTTACAGACCCACCAAGAAAATCCAACAAATGCTACGTTCAGCAAAGGACAAGAGGGATCCTCTCACCTCTGCAGGAGTCTACCGTATACCATGCAGCTGTGGACAAGTCTACATAGGAACCACCAAACACAGCGCCCAAACATGAATCAAGGAACATGAAAGGCACTGCAGATTACTTCAACCAGAGAAGTCAGCCATAGCAGAGCACCTGATGAACCAACCTGGACACAACATATTATTTGAGAACACAGAAATGTTGGACCACTCCAACAACCACCAAGTCAGACTACACAGAGAAGCCATTGAAATACACAAGTATGTGGACACTTTCAACAGAAGGAAGGAAACCAGGAAAATGAACAAAATCTGGCTACCAGTATTAAAAATAAAATTACAGCAGCACAACAACAGAGAGGAAACAAACAAGGACATCTAATCACCTCTCAACAAAAGTTTTCTCTAGGCACTGTCAGGCCATTATATGCTAATCAAGGTGGTCAGTTGAAACATTCATAGCTAGCTCCAGCAGACAAGAGTCCTTTGTCTCACCCTGGTCATTCCACAGATATATAAACCCCCCTTTCCTAGTTCCAACAGACCTCACTACCTCTGAGGATGCTTGCCATAGATGCAGGTGAAACGTCAGGAGAAAATGCCTCCAGAACATAGCCATATAGCCTGAAAAAAACCTACAACAACCCACTGATACAGTAAATTATGCATTATATACTGTATACAGGAATTCAGAGCATATGCACAATAATCCAGAATGATACTTTTTTCTATGCAAACATGTTAAATAACCAGTAACTGTCTGTCATAGGTTACTCTCTGCAAAAGTACAGAGAGACTGTCAAATAGGTATTGTTCATCTGTTATACACAGTGGTTGAGAAGATATGTTGCCGGCCTTTGAGATACGGGTTAAGATAACGTTTCAATTAATTTTTTAATCAAATTTTCCCAAAGGATGCATTTTGAATTCCTGAAATGTGGCTGTATTTTGTTTGTGATGGTTTAGAATTACGATGAAGCACTGCAAACAGATGACAAAAACGAGGCTTTTGAAAAAGCATTGACTAGTTTAAATTTGCCTGCTGTTGAAGACCTGTTAAATTCAGGTAAGATGAGTAGATTGTCTTTGGCATAATTCATTTTGGAAGGCATTGGAAGTATACTCATTCTTTACTGATTTGATCCCAAAGCCACATTTTCACTTTCTTTCTGAAGGCTAGGAAGGAGGGGGCTGATCTAATATCACCGGGGAGGGTGTTCCACAGTTCAGGGGCCACCACTGAGAAGGCCCTGTCCCACGTCCCCACCAGTCGTACCTGCGAAGGAGGTGGGACCAAGAGTAGGGCCTCCCCTGACGATCTTAATCTCCAAGGTGGTTCATAGGACAGATGCGTTCGGACAGGTAAACTCGGCCTGAACTGTTTAGGGCTTTATAGACTAAAGCCAGTACATTGAATTTGTGCTCAGTAGCAGACTGGTAGCCTTATTTAAAACAGCTTATTAAAAACAGGGGAATGACACAATTAAGATTGCTCAGTGGTGGATTGAACAGATGCCCTTCATTATGAAAGGATGCATATGATCTGACAGCTGTTTCTCAATTATACATTTTAGAATATTGGCAGATTACATTCTGCTTTCTTAATTTTTACAATATTTGATGCCTTTCAAAACCAAAGGAATGCTCAATGTAATTCACCGTAAGCTGATGACAATGACCTTCATGGGAATAACAGCTGGAATATGAAGCACTGCCACTAATACAAAACACTCATGTCACAATTCCTTGTTTTAATAGCTTTAAAGTTTACCAAGCGTTCTGTGTCTGTTGCGTCTTTTGGCAGCTGGTGGAGTTCTTATGGCAATGGATGTTTGAAACACCAGGCCATGGTGAGACAAAATAAGGTTTTGGGAGCTAGAAGTATTTCAGAGTTCTCTGCCACTCCAACAGGTGTTTTTGGTTTTTTTGTTTTGTTTTGTTTTTTGCTGAAACTTCTGATACTACTTTGAACTTAAAATACACTTCTGCTGTAACCTATGATAATCGCAGTTTTTTTATTTAGCAAGCTAGTTAGGCTAAATCAAATTTGTTTAGCTCTGCTGTCTGTATCCATATCTAACACATCAAAATTATATAATACTATATAATTTATAATCTCTGTCCAATTAAATGCCTGGTTATCTTTTACATGCAAATATTGCAGGTGTAAGTGCAGAATCCAATTTTAAATTTGGATGGACTCCGCTGATGTATGCTGCCAGTATTGCAAATGTGGAACTCATGCGTATCCTTCTGTGCAGAGGTGCAAATGCCAGCTTTGATAAGGGTAAGGTCTGACAAAAGTATTTCTGCACTGCCTCATGTTTTATTGCTACAGTTAATTTTATCTTGAAATCCAAGTAGATAATGCGTTAAAGAGAAAATGCAGACCGGAAGAAGAAGAACCTACGTTTCTCCTTGTTGAAATTCATTCTGTTGAATCTCTTAATTCACTATCTAATCTTCTAAAGTAGGTCTGAATTCTAATCCTGTCTTCAGGAGTATTAGCTATCCCTCCCCATTTGGTGTCATCTGTAAACATGATAAGCACGCCCTCTAAACCTTCATCTAAGTCAATAAAGATACTGGACATCATTGGGCCTAGGACAGAACCTTGCGGCACCCCAGTGGTTACTTCTATCTAGGATGAAGAGGAACCATTGGTGAGCACTCTTTGAGTTCAGTCGCTTAACCAATTACAAATCCATGCATAGTGCCCTTTATACTATAGTTTCCCCAAAACAAAGCCTGCCCTCCAATTGTCTTTTTGATTAAAAATGTTTTTATAAAATGGAATTTTGTTTGATTAGGTATTTGAAAAGTTGGTATACTACATTAGGCGGAAATAATGAAATGCATAGATACAGGATGGGTGACACCTGGCTCGACAAGAATACATGTGAAAAAGACCTTGGGAGTTTTTATGAACAAGTTGAACATGAGCCAACAATGTGATGCAGAAGCTTAAAAAGCCGATTAGAATTTGGGCTGCATCAGAAGGAATATAGTGTCTAGATCAAAGGAAGTAATGGTGTTCTGCTATTCTGCTTTGGTCAGACCTCACCTGGAATCCTGTGTCCAGTTCTGGGCTCAACAGTTCAAGAGAGATATTGATAAGCTGGAATGTGTCTAGGGGAGGGCAACGAAAATGATCAAAGGTCTGGAGACCATCCCCTATGAGGAACAAGACCTGGGGATGTTTAGCTTGTAGAAGAGAAGATTGCGAGGAGACATGATAGCCGTCCACACACACACACACAAATCTATTACGCATCTAATTTGGGGAATGTAATTTAGCCAAAAAAGGTGAGCATTGGAGTCAAGTTAATATAGTATTAGTGTATGTGGTTATTTACTGATTGCTGTTGATATCTGCAAAGTTGATTTAGTTGGTTAATTTGTTCCCATGATTTTTGCTTAGATCAGTATACAGTGTTAATGGCTGCATGTAATGCCCATGCTTCAGAAGAACAGATTCTAAAGAGTGTAGAACTGCTTTTGTCAAGGAATGCTAATCCTAATACTACATGTAGGTAAGCAAATATGTGTACTTCAAATTACTGAATAGTTTATTGCTCTCATAATATGGCAAATAGAATCATTCTTGGTTATTGAGTGTGTTGTACCATGTTTGTTACCAATGGATCATTTTCCGATTGTTTACCATTCATACCTGATACGTTTCTGTTTGCTAACAATGTTTACTGTATTCTCCTAAGCCTATTTGCCCACCAGTGAACAAGCTCACTGTAGCACAACATTTTTAACCAGATGGATTACAGACAAATAAAAGTTATCACCACCCTGATCCATTGATGTTCTTATGCATTATAATGTAATAGTTAATGTAAGGCATATTGATGTAAAATAAGAATTTAAAATAAGGTTATCTGATTTAAAAACTAGCAATTTTTAATGTGCCAGGGACAGGAACCAATTGGTATTGTGTTTTCTTTCTGGAAACCTCAGTGAATCGGAGCCACTGAGTCAAGTCCAGGGATTTCCACTTTGAGTAGCACTGACATAAGCTATCTAAATAACTTTTATTATTGAACAAAAGCAGATGCTGTGGACAATGAAAATATAATAGTAATTATTTATCAAGTTCTATCAGATATCAATTGTACAAGTTCTCCCACTTAAAAAGATGAGAGGGGCCTGTAATTGATATCATAGGTAGACCTCAACGATGAGAGACAACGTGAGAAAACACATCCAGAAAATAAAACTGTCTGATTTTTAACAAATTTATTTGCAAATTATGGTGGAAAATAAGTATTTGGTCCATAACAAAAGGCTCTCAAGTCACATTACATTTGAAAAAGCTTCCCTGACTAACCTGCTAGTGCAAATCCCCTTATTTGCTGGTGAGAACACAGATATCAGATATGCACATTGAACTAAATGGGGGACAGTTAACATGTAGAGTCTGCTTTCCCCTTGAGATGTATCTTGTAATGTTACCATAAGAAATCCAGAGAATATTAAAATGACTACTGCAGATAGTACAGATGACTGAATAGTTATCTGCTATAAGTTACAACAGAGTTGTCTATGTGTCAGGACTTAACAACTTCCTTATTTAGCAAGACTAGTCTAGTGATTCATGATGCCCAAGGTTCTAGGGAAATAAAAAGGTTGTGAGATAACTTTTTAAAAACAATCCAGTTAAGATGAAGAGTAATTATGTGAGGTTCACCTTTGTTACTGTGTTCCTAGCTTTTTGTTCTAAGCACTGCAATTTCTGCTAGCTTTAAAGCAGTGATTCCCAACCTTTTTTTTTATAAGGGCCCACTTTGACCAGGGACCACTTGACTGGGAACCATTTTGACCAGGGACCACTCTCCAACATTAGTACTAAAAGGGGCAGGCTGGTCAGCTCTGTGAAAAGTTAAATAAATAAATAAAGAGGAAAGGTTCACGGACCAGATTTTCATTCTTGTGGCATGCTGCTGGGCTGCGACTCACAGGTTGAGAACCACTACTTTAGAGTCTTTTATACCCCAGGTATCTAGACTTAACTCTATAAGTGCCTTAAGTTCTAGAGGGAGGGGGAAAACCAGAATGTGAGATAACTTGAAAAACAACCCAGCTTGTAGTGTTAAGTTGAATGAGTACCACGTTGATAGCTTATTGAACAGAAACAAGACAATAAGGTTGTAGTCTGATGTTGAGGTATCTGAAGATAGGTTGGTTAGACTCAAACTTAAATTATGTGCACCTCAACTAGGTCCCATAGAGGGATTTTCCTCTTTGTGGACCGTTCAGCAGTTGATTTAATAGGTGTACTGCAGTTGGGATAAATCAATAGGCTAAAAGCCTGAATGTGTTAGATTTTTATATGCTATGTTCAGGGAAAAGCTATTACATTATAAAAATTGGAAACTACATATTTTTCTATTTAGTAAATTTTAATATTGAAAAATTGCACTGTACTTTTGAAGCCAAAGAAGAAAGAGAGGGGAAGATGTGGTACCTTAAGGACATTTTTGTGTCTCAGGAAACCCATAGCATTTCCCAAATTAAATTGCCTTGATTTTAAAAAAACAACATGTCATTTCCACTCCACCTAGGAGCCATAAATAACAATTTTGACATATTTTTTGCCATTTCTTGACGGTTTAGACTCTGAAAGAGGGGTGGCGGCAATGGGAAACCAACTACCATAGTGTGATGAATTTGCACCCATTGCCCCTGTTTTTGAGACAAGAGTATTTTGGGCCATTAAAAAGGATTTAAAGAATCATTGTAGCCTTCCATATTTGCATAGAGGAGCAATACACCTCCTCAGTTTATGGTATTTGCCTGTCTTAAGGCAAAAGTTGCCATCAAGCTATTTTCATTTTTTCAAAAGGCAACCGAGACTCAGTAAACAAGAGTTCAAATTGTAGATGGGTTTCAGAGCAACCTATAGACATTTTTGAACAACTAACCTCTGTACAAATTACAGAGGTTAAATGCTGAAATTTGAAGATTGATGTATTTAAGAATTTTGCATTTGTAGCGATCTAAAATGACAATGCACTAGCATTGTTCTAAGTATTGGCTCTTGCTGTTGTTGATAACACAGTTAATGCTTTTAAGTTTTCAACCAATTGCTTAGTATGTAAGTTTGAAAGAACATATTTAGTACAGTTGATAAGACAGTGCCAGCCTACACTACTGTGCAGTTAAGGTGGCCTTGAGTTTATCACCATATGATGGTTAACTTTGTCAGATCACATATCTCAATCCATGCATATAGCTTGGGAAAACTGTCACATTTATGTTTTAGACAATAAATTTTAATATAAATGGCATCAAAACAGATAATGAGTGTTACATAAACCTTAATACCTTGCTATAGTACAGATCTTTTATCATTTTATCTGTTTCCATGGCTTAAAAGGTTTGAAGGGTATAAATATATGACCTCTATTTAATCATTGTTATCTTTTTACTGTTCCTTTTTCTAGAACTACAGGCCTAAATCAATCTGATAACTCCAACTAATGTAGACTTATTGAATAAATTCTTGAATGGTAACACTTGCAATAAATCTCATTGTTTCAACGGATTTTAGACTAGTTGCAATTTGCAGTTGTCTTTAGGACATAATGTCAACTCAATTAAATGTTTACATTTTAAAGCACACTTTTAATATAAAACAGTTCCATACTCCAAGGGAATCCATTATGTTTTATCCACTGTGCTGTTTATATATCAAGATCAGAAGAAATAAGTATGGATAATAATGTGACCTGACCCTAAAATAGGGTAGGTTTGTACACATGGGGGTTAATCAATATCAAGGAACAACATTATTAGTATAAAATGTGTTCATAGTTATTTAGAAAAGATTGTGAATCTTTGACAGACTAGAGGACTGGATTAAAAAGAATGTCAATAGAGATAAATTAGAAGTTTTGCATTTAAGTAGAAAAAAAACAGGTTTACAGACAAAAGAAAGCTGATAGCTTAACTATAGAACATCTGAAAAAGATATAGGTGTTTTACTGGACCACAAGATAAACAGAAATTAGCAGTGTGGTGTGTCAACTAAAAAGGCAAATGAAACAGGCTACAATGAAAAACATTTTTTCAATTTTGTAACTATATTTAATGTATTGTTGGGTGCTGAATTAAAAAACAAGATACAAATATTATTATGCAGCTCATTTACAAATTTGATATTTTTATCAATTCAGTAGTTACTCAGTTTTGATTAAGTATGGATAGTGATGTTTTAGTGTGATTTTTAAAGTGCTTTTGAACATTTTTTTTTGCTTTCATATCAGCAAAGTAAAGCATTTTGAAAGTCTGTAAGAAAATGGTCGCCCATTTCTTATTCCTTTTTATTTACTCCCCTTGAAACCTTACTCACCCAAATATTATGAAATAAAAATGTCGAAGCTAGTTGTGAGAAAAAATAACAATTCATGATAAAGCAAATCTGAAGTCATTTTTAGATTAAATACTAAAATCACTACACTTTGAAAAAATTTATGACCTTCAGTTTTACAGGCCTGTTCAGATATTCCCAAAGCCAAAAAAATTAAAAAAAAATAAAATCTGAAATGCAAAACATTTCTGGTCTTAAGCATTTTAGATAAGTGATACTCAACCTATACTACCAAGACTTTTAAATAGACTGGGAATTATCCTAGATGTTGCAAATGAAAAGGTAACGGAAGAGACTGCAAAAATTATTTTCATATTAGCTGGTGTATGTTATGTCTTACAGATTAGCTTCTGTATAGGAAATGTCGTTATTTTGGGGTAATCCCCGTTGGAAATAATATATATATTTTCTTAGAATAATTAAATATTATTGGAGTTAACAACCTACTTGGCACTTCATGGTGCATGGTTCTTTTCTTCACCATTCATGTTTGACCTACATTTGTTGTTGAAGCTATTGTTTCTTTTCTGTGCTTGGGAAATACAGTGAACTGTTATTTTCCCCCACATGTGATTATTTTATTGTTGTTTGCCTTCAAGTAATTCCTGGCATTATGGCATTGGCAACTCTAAGGTAAATGTATCAAATGGTTTTCTTTGCAAGACATGGTCAGAGGTGTCTGCCATGGCCTTCCTTTGAAGCTGGGAGAATGTGACACAGCCAAAATCACCCAGTATGTTTCTGTGACTTAGTGGGGATTTGTTAATGTTTTAAAATTGTCATGACATTCCCTGTTTACTGTTATACAAAGTTTCTTCCTTTGGCTTACCTTCTTCCTTCAATAGTGTTACCAACAGATGATCACAGTTCCTTATCAGATGATGTTTTCATAACTTTGAGTAGAATAGTATTACATCCTAAATGTTGAGATGGTGATTCATTCCTGTGCGTAACAACTCTCATTGTTCATTGTTCAATTTCATTTTATTGTTAGCAACTGACGTCTCAAGTATATTGCAGTAGCTTTAAAATGCATGCTAAGAACATAGGAAGAACCTGGCTGACCAAAGGTCTATTCTTATATTCGTTTTCCTACAGTTGCCAGCCACAGACTTCTGGCAACTGTATAGACATAATATGGAGAAACTAATATTTTCCTTGATCTGATGCCCCTCTCTCTTCAATAAACAAGAGGTTCTATTTAATTATCCTGACTAATAACCATTGAGCAGGACAGTGGAGACTTTGGTGACCACAGAACCAGACTTTGGTGGAAATTACATTGTAATGTGATCAAAGTTGTCTGCAATGGCCCTATGAAGAAGTGTATATGCATCCTCTTAATGAAAATTGTTTTAATGGACTTACCAAGCAGGTTTAAGAATGAAAGATTTTGCTGAACAACCCAATAAGAGCTGCTGGTAATTTGCTTTCACATTCTCTAACTCCCCATTGGCTGCCTCTAAGCTGATTTCTCCTCTAGGGAGCTTCCCAAGAAAGTGTCACACCCAATAATCCAAGCTGGCATCATTCATTGAGCAAACATTCCTTGGATAAATCTAATAGAACCTTTTAGGATCCCAGGACCTTCATAAGAAATCTTTCCCTCTGGTTAGTTCTATGCCAGAAAAGGTCACCATCCTTTCTGTTGACTATGACAACTGATTTCTTAGAGGATAGATTGTCAGTTCTGATTATCTTTCCTACTTACTTGGCCGCCTTTGATCCGTACTCAGGAAGAGCAAACCTGTAACTTGCCTTTGACCTAGCCTCCTCTACTTTTGAGGACACAGTTTGTGAGAAGGCAGCATTTAGTCTGGGAAACAGAAAATCAGACACACTTTCTTCTTGGCACTGCAACAGATATGTGACCTCCTCCAAGACAATCTGTTTGCTCCACCTTCTGACGCTTAATTGACTCACTGTTTCTTTTGTTTACATGACCCCTCACAGAAGGCATGGGGCACCCTCACGGTCTCATGGCTCCAGTCTGACTGCCTTTTTGTTTTGTTTTGTTTTTGTTTTTTGTGGTTCCTTGGGGGGGGGGGGTGTGTGTCTGAATCCATGTATCTTTTCTGGATAAAGACCTATCTAACTCAGACTTTTGGGTCAGCTCACCTTCTTTGACCTAAAATCATTATAGCACATTCCACAAAAATAGCAGCCATGTTATAAGACTTCTCCAGTACTTTCCTTTTGACAGAAATCTGTAGAACAAGTTTGTGGGTAAGGGCCCCCACTTTGAATAAACAATGCTATATTGATTTATATCTTCAGCAGCAATCTGGCAGGCATCCAACAAGTCCCTCAGTAGACATAAACCATAGACTATGGAGCATTTTCTCTCAATTTCCCAGCTCTTACAAATGGCTTTCCAGTGAAGGATAAAGATAGGGGGTTTTTTTTCTGGAAAAGTCCAAAATGAGGCATAGAAATCTTGGGTCCATCTCCCTGTGATATTACTGCACAGGCTTTCTCATCCCCCATTGGTTTCTTAAAAGAACTTGCTTCTGCTTTTCCTCATAAGTACAGAAATGTTAACTCACACATTTGTAGTATATTTATTTTTATTTACAGTTGTGTATATCCTGCCCTTGCTCCCTCTCTGAGGGACTCAGAGTGGCTAATATATGAGGTATCATACTTCTCACATTTCCTCTATTGAGGAATTTTCCTTCTCATACAGATTATTTTCATATATTTCAGTATATGGTAGCATTTCCAATACACTTTATTACTTCAGAATGGCTATTTTAAAGGTTTGTATGTGCTCTTTTAATTTTAATATTCTAATATCTAATGTTTTAACTTTATAATTGCTTTTTCAATCTGATGTTTATAATTTTATTAATGTTTTTGGATTATCTGTAATTTGTGTTAAGTATGGTAAGTAAGCTGCCTTCAATCTCATTATTGGGAGACAAGTAAGATAACGAATACAATGAGAAGCAGCAGCAGCATTGTTTCAGATATTAGATTTCTAATTTCATCTATGCAGAAAGTGTTTTAACTCTGTCTTAAATTCAGTCGGAGAATCTTACCTATATTCTATTAGTTGAATTGAGCCAAAAGTACTTGTGTCTTCTGTGTAGTGATATACACTAGATCCTAACTACTACAGTCTGACTACTTTTATAGTTGTCACAAACATTTGCTTTTGTAGTTGAAGAACCATGCTTCTCAGATAATACCATTTCAGAAAACCAAAACGCAGAATCCTGCCTCCTTGGAGAAGTTCACTCTGCTAGATCTTACTACATCCCTTTCCCTTATTTTGTTATATTCTTAATTATAATGACAGGATGCAGCATTTCAGTGCTGTACCTTTTATCATGCCCTTATTTTTACATAGGCAACATGTTGTTAACTTGATTTCTACAGTGCAGAGCTTGAAATATAACCGGTACAATACTAGTAGTACATTTCCACAGTTTCAGTTTAATGTACTCTACATCAGTTCTGCATGCATGGCATCAGGCAGATTAGTCAGTATAATCTCTGTGTTTGTCCGAAATCCAAATTATGGAATCTCTTACTCTACACACAGTTTTCTATCTCTTTTCAGAGTATGCTCTATATGGGTCCTTCCACACAGCCTTATATCCCAGAATATCAAGGCGGAAAATCCCACAATATCTGCTTTGAACTGGGTTATCTGAGTCCACACTGCCACAAATTTCAGTTCAAAGCAGATAATGTGGAATTTTATTCAGCTATGTGGAAGGGGCCTGTGAGAGAATAATGGGCATGAAAGACTCTAATAAGTTTATTTCTGTCTTAGAAAATATTCCTATTCTGAGATCATCTTTTCAAATATAGTATAATTCTCTTAATTTTGTGCTGGTCCCTGAACTTGCTCAATGTGTTCCTGCTTGGTAAGGGATGGGTATTAGAGTTCTAGCATAAATTTGTAACTCAGTCTTTATCTTTTGGGAGCTGCAATACTGAATATGTAGGTTGCACATCCATCTTCAGGTTACCTGTCAACCTGTGGTAATTTCACGAAGTTTTCTCAAGCAAGGAATACTTGAAGGTGATTTTGCTATTTCCCTCTAAAATACAGCCTACAGCACCTAGTATTTGTTTGGAAGGTTCTTATCCTAGTACCAGAGCTGACCCTGGTTAGCTTCCAAGATCGGAAAATGTCTGGTACCTTTAGGGCAGTGATTCTCAGGTGTTTTGTGTTTCAACTACAGAAGCCTACAATGCCTTGGCTAGGCTTCTGATATTGGGCATGCCAAAACTGTATTTTATAGCACAGCTAAACATACACTGCTGTAATCTCAAATAATATCCCTTCACTATAGGTAGTAATTTCATTTTCATTTCAGAGTTGCATGCAGACATATGGCAACTTACTCCTGCCCTGTTGCACTTTTTATGCAAATCTTTCTTTTTTTCCTTTAATTTTATGATACCTTTTGTTTCTTTGGGACAACTTCAGGAAGGAAAACCTTAGTTGCACATTTGCTAAGACAGTTTTTAAGCCTACATACAGCTTTCCAGTGTGTTTCTATGGATCCCTCTAGTGGTCTGTAACATAACTAACACACTGTGAACAAAAGTATGTTTATGTTTAAAATTATTTTCATTATGCTTTTTCTTTAAGCAGGACAGTTCTACCTAGTATTTGTCATAAAGCAGAAAACTGTAGTGAACTGCAGTTAAGTGGCTGTGTGTTTCCTTTTATTTTTTGCTGTACAGTTTTTATAACTTGTTTGATATCTTTGCAATGGTGATATGATTATGTTAGCACTTTAGTGCAATGTTTGGCAATTAATTCTATCAGCTGCTTTTTAAGCAACTCTATCTAGAACTTGTTCTTTCAAACATTAAACTTTATAGCCTGACTATTATTTTAGATCAAAGTCTGGTGTTTAAGTAGCAATAAAATTACTAAATAAGTGCTTCCGAATCCTTTGCTAGTGAAGAAAAACTATTGTGTGAGTTTACTCAGCGTCATACTCAACACCCAAAGTTTCTGCATTGTAAAGTTAAGCAATAGCTGGAAATAGAAGGTTACTATTTAATTAATTACAGCTGTAAATCAGGTTGGTGCCTGTATTGGTCCAAATCCAGACATCAACCAACTTGCTTATTGGGCGATGAGTCCCATGATATGATTGGAGATAACCATGGGGGCAGCTTCCCACCCAGCATGTCCTGTATGATACCAGGGCTCTGGGATCGGCTTCAAGACCTACTCCACTGCAGGACTTTTGGGTTTCCCTTAGGGCACACAATCTGTCTTTCTAGCAAGTAGAAAGGTGTATCCTGGCTGTATGTCCCATGCCCAACGGTCCCCACAAAGCTCAGTAGTTACCTCAGCCAACTTCAACTGCCTGGCTACTCCAAATATACCATAAATACAGGGTGGGTTGGGGGGATGCTAGTCAAACTCCAACGGCTGAGCTCCTGGAGACATCTGCCTTCATCAGCTCCATGGTCTGACTAAAGTGAAAACACATGGCAGGAACATCTGGGCACTCTGTCTGATCTAGCCATCTAATTGGTTCAAAGCCTCTGGTTTAAACTGATCAGCTGCTTGTCTTCTGTGCTCTGTCTGGTGCTATAAATGCACCCGGGCAATCCCTGTTGCCAGGCTAGATGCTGCTTTGTTTGGCCAAGCTGCAACATTGCTGCATGCTAAGTTGCATTCTTCATTATTAATTAATAACAGAATAACAAATATTTGAAATTAGAACACTGTTAACAGGTGCTATGGATTCTTTCCTAGAAAGAAAATGACTCCCCTAATGTATGCAGCCCGTGAAGGTTATCCTCAAGTTGTGGTTCTTCTAGTTGCTCATGGATCACAAATAAATGCTCAAGACGAAAGTGGTTACACTGTAAGTTTGCAGTATCGAGTTGGTTCTTTGCTGGTTTTTACAAATAGACAAAGAATCTTCAAAGTGGCTCCATCTTAAATTATTGACATGTTATTGTACCAAACATGTTACTATGCATAGTTCCTGGTTTTGTTTTGCTTATCCTTAAATGAGAGGAAGTAAATGTATGTTGCACACTCAGATTGTAGAGTGGTCTGTGCCCCTACCCTTTCAGTCCGCAGATTGCCACTCCAATTAATTGTCCCAAATGCTGACTTTTTAATTCATTTTTGTTGTACCCAGTTCTCAGAAACTCTTCTGTAACTAGGATAAAAAAAATCCCAAAGGAAACCTAAAAGTGAATTAAGGTACTCCAAGATAGTATACACTGTAGAATGAGTGACTGTAGTAGAAAGGCATATTGAGTAGCTGTCAGGGACACCTCTCCCATCTTTATTGTCTGTGGAGCATAACTCCAGACTGAAGCCACAAGAAGCTTTAAACTCGCTTCATATGTCTTCTCTTCCTTCTCTATATTCCTTTTTCTTGTGATTGTTTTAACACTTGTGAAGAGAGCAACTTGTAACTGAGGTGTGAAGACAAGACAAGAACTATACACTGTATATACTCATGTGTATGTCAACTTCATATATAAGTTGAGGGCAGCTTTTGAGACCAAAATTTTGGATTTTGTTATCACCTGTGGATAAGTCAAGGGCCATTACATGAGAAAAATGGCACTGCTGTCACTTTTCAACTTAAACATTTAAGAAGAAAGGAATCAGTGCCATTGCACAAAAAGTAAACGGGATTGAGGCTTCTTTGGGATTGTCCTGAGATGGACAGTTCCCGTTTTTCATTACTCAGAGATGGAAATTGTTATTTAGATAAGAGAAGGTTGATTACTTACATTGATCTGTATTTATGCAAGCTTTTTGGGTGGATTTTTAAACTAAAACTTCTAGACTTACTCATGAATATAGACAGTATGTCTTGCTGGATAGGAGCATTCATTCCAAAGTACCTTATCAATTAAAATTACTTTCTTGTTCTCAAATTGTAAAATGTATACTGCTGAAACAACTAATGAATCATTGCAGGCATTAACATGGGCAGTTCGCTGTGGACATAAAAAAGTAGTGTTCAGGTTACTTGAACTTGGAGCTGATAAATCAATACAGACAAAAGATGGACAGACACCAAGAGAAATTGCAAAAAACAACAATCATTCAGAGGTATGGTTACTTTTACAATATCAAGCAATATGTATCTACTTTGAAGCTGATTTTGCATTAGAGTTCCATGCAGTGATATAGTATGAGGCTAACCTTTCTATTCACAGGTATTTTCGAATAATGTTCTATTTGTGAATGCCTTCATTTGTTTCTAGGTAGGGATATATTTACTTAGAAAAAACCAAGATAGGGGTAATCAGGAACCTAAAAATGAATATGCTTTGAAGAATTAGCATAATATTGAAAGTATTGTACAGACCCAACATTTACAAGTGAGTTATTCCATTAAATGCAATGTGACAGTAGAGAGGCAGGGTATGTGGGAACCTGACAAATTGACGTAAAACTAAGGAAAGAGAACATAATGCTTATGATAAAACATATATTACCTATATAGCTTCAGAAGTTATTTTAGCCTCCAAAACTGGCTCAGCAATCTTTCATCCCTTGAGAAGTAAAATGCAGTATCATATTTATTTATTTAGGAGATTTCTAAGCCGCCTTTCTCCAGGTGAACTCAAGGCATCTCACATAATCTTAAAATATACATCTATCTATCTATCTATCTATCTATCTATCTATATAAGAAAAGTCAGTGTTTGTGTGTATGTATGTGTGCGGCGGACGTAGGAGTATGTGGCAGCTTTCTGATTGGCTCCCACTGTGGTACAATTTGCATAAGGTCTCTGATTGGCCAGCCAAAACATTCCAAAACTCTCAAGTGGCTGAGAGGGGAAAGGAAATTTGCATATGGTTTCTGATTGGCCAGCTTCAACAGGAGCCCCTGGTGGCGCAGAGGGTTAAACCCCTGTGCTGGCAGGACTGAAGATGACAAGGATGGTAAAAGATCAAAACATCCTGGACAGCGTCCTTGCAGACGGCCAATTCTCTCATACCAGAAACAACTTGCAGTTTCTCAAGTCGCTCCTGACATGACAAACAAAAACAAAAAAACAAAACATTCTAACATTCTCAAGTGGATGAGAAGAGAAAGGAAAGGGCCTGAGGATTTTCAGTACCTTCACTCACTCTACATCCTACTGCAGTTTGGAGGAGGATGGACCATGGATTATGGGACTTGCAGTACCTTTGCTCAATTCCTGAGACCACTGCAACCCTCATCCAATTACCGATAGACCAAACTTGGCACACTGAGTCTCCATGATGCACTCTACATCCTGCTGCGGTTTGGAGGAGGATGCACCATGGACGATGGGACTTGCAATACCTGTACTCCCTTCCTGAGACCATTACAACTGCCAACAATGATGGATCAGGATCACAGTTCACACAGAGCCCGCATGACCCACTCTACATTTGGAAGAATTTGGAGAAGGCTGATGGGACTTGCAGTACTTTCACTCACTTCCTGAGACCACAGCGACACCCATGCAATGACAGATCAAGACCAAATTTGGCACACAGAGCCCCCATGACCCACTCTCCATCCTGGTGCAGTTTGGAGGAGGATGGAACACAGATAATGGGACTCGCAGTACCTTCACTAACTTCCTGAGACCATTGCCAGCCATATAAATAACTGATAAAGGCCAAACTTGATACAATATTCCTTTCTCAAATAACCTGGGCAGCGCTGGGTCCCCAAGCTAGTAGTAAAATAAAACAAAAGCTAAACACAAATGAAAAAAGTTTCAGGAATGCTCCATAGCATCATCCATATTGTAAACAATAAAGTTAAAGAGATGGAGGCGGGATACAAAAATAAAGTTGTTATTATTAATTGGCCCATTTCCAATTTCTGGACATAATATTTCAATCAATGAAGTTCCTGCCTACTGTAGCTTGCTGATTTAACAATGTCCAAGTGGACATGGTAGCCTTGAATGTGCAGAGATACATATTTTAGAATTCCCATTAGGTTTTTTAACACATGGGCATTTTATTGATGTATTAATAAAAGCTTATGCAGCCATTTATTTAACTTTTGAGATGCTGTAAAAAGTTTCTTTATCTGTAGTCCTAGAGGCCAATGCCAGCTCTTTTGGATTTTTTAAAATCTAATGGCATTTAAGTATATAATAAAAATAGCATTAGAGGTATCAAATTGTCTTCCTGTGTAAATAATTTATGGTAAAATTATTTCCTTAGCTTTTTAGTTTACTTTCATTGATGGGAAATCCTTTTCAAGGACGGTTTCAGAAATTTGTTAAAGGAGAGGCTACTCAGAGTCTTTTGAAAGCAGTCCCTGATGGATTGCAAAGGTAAATATTTTTATATAATAATAATAATAATAATAATAATAATAATAATAATTCCAACTAATAAAGGCTTTTCTGCAAGCCTTCTCCAATCTGGTACCCTCTGATTTGTTAGTTTTCTCTTTCCTTAGCTAGCTTGTCATCTAGAATTGGTCTGGATTCTAATTAAAGATATGTAGAGGATATCAGGGAAGGTAGGATCACTGACCCAAAAATGTATCCATTGTGCAATTTTAATCACTTTCTACTATGCACTGCTGTTGTGATATATACCTGTGCTCTCTCTATACTTTGGTATCTTTAGCCTTTCTGCCTAAAAAGTTTTCTTGTGAAGCCCTACCTGAACAAAACAAACAAGTTGAATGCCTATGTGAGTTGGAGGGATTACTCAAGATCAAGGCACTCTACATGCATCACTGTTCTCTTGGATTGTAGTGTAAGAATTTCAGAATTCCCACTGTGTTCTTAGATTGCAGTCCTAATTAGTGAAGAGCTGGCTGAGCTGATTATAGAACCTTTCTAGGCTAGTGATGATTTAGGATGATTGTTGCCTTGACTTGATTTTATGCCACTTTTATGACAGTGTTCCTTGAGCAGAACTTTAGATCTGGTGTAACATAGCTGGGTTCTTTATTTAGAGTACCCATATTTTATAATAATGGAACCTGTATGTGTATATAGATCCTATGCAGCTTTTGGTGACCTGGAAGTGTTTTTACATGGCTTTGGGCTGGAACACATAACAGAGACATTAAACGTGAGTTTTTAAATTGGAAACATATCTGGATGTCTGCACATATTCTTAATGATCGTGCCATTATTCTAGAAGATCACTGTTAAATTTATGACAATATAAGTATTAAAGCTGTTTTGGAATACATGAATGTAAAGAGCATTCTGAATATTAACGTACGGTAGGGCTTTGTGTATCCATTATAAATGCACATAAAGTATGTTATTTGGCTGTGTTTATTGATCTCTATGTCACTTGCAATTAAATAATTACCATGAATTCTGGGTTTTAAAAATCCTAATTAAATAATATTGTTTCATGCAGGAAAGAGGGATTACTTTGAGACAACTTTTGACCATGAGAAAAGAGGACTTTGTAGAGGTTGGCTTAATACTCCTGTTTCTTAATTCTCTATTTTGGATAACATTTTACTGCCTAAGTGTCATTTTTATAGAGGACAAGTAATACTATTCAGTTTTTGATAGAATGGTCCCCTTATTACAGAGGAACTGATCAGACAGTTGGTATGCTAGGACAGAAGTTGCTGCTAGAGTGCACAAAGATGTGTTAATATGCATTTATGAACGGTCTTGTACTTATAACATTTTCAATTTATCGCTGTAAATTGAAAATATTTGCAACAACATGAACAGAGAACATGCATTAGCATTGATAGAGCTGATCCTGTTTTAGGATCAGATAGAATCTGGTGTCCTTAAGGTATTTAGGCATACTCAAGATATTTTTTTAATTGGGTTTCTTGTTTTGATGGGATTCAGGTATGTTAGAAAATGATGATCCCTACAGTCACTATCTTGACTTTTCTAAGATAAAATACATGTTTGTTGATTGAAACGTAGCATTAATATTTTAAAAAGTCAAATTTCTTCCAAATTTCATTCATTAGATATTTGAACATTTTGTCATTTAGATTGGGATTAAGGATCAGAGAGATCAACAAACCATCATAGATGCTGCTAAAGAACTGCAGACAGAAGAAGTAAAGTTGGAAGAATTGTCAGGAGTGATGAATGTAGAATTCAGGTAAAATCCCACTTTCAAAAAATTATTTATTTATTTTAAACTTTTATATCTCAATCTTCTCTACCTCCATAGAGGGACTCCGACTGGCTATGAACAAAATAGTAACTATGACTATTGTTTTTAATTAAATGAACTAAAATCTCACTTGATGGACAGTAAAGAGATCCCAAGTCATTATCCTGCACAGGGCACCATTTGCGTAAAATCAAAGTGATGTTTCAGACTGAATATCCTATAATGTATTATTCAATATAAACATAATAACAGTAAAATTTGAATGCACATAATGGTGTGTGAATTGCTGCATTAAGTTTAATTTGTAGTTGGTGTGTATTGAAAAAATCATAATGGTTGGAATCATGTATCAAGGTAGAGGCTATAGAGCACCCACAGTAATCTGAACTCTATGTCATTTAGTGGTTAGAAAGAAAGTTAAAGAATACCACTCCAAGTGTGTCAAGTGAGTGTTTCACCCCTCTTTCTGTTCTCATAAGGTAAGGATTGAGCCCACACATTTCAAAGCTTGCTTCAATCAAAATAGTTTAAATCTAGTGGCTGATAGTATACTGCCAGCAGTTTTGGGAATATAGCAATCTGAAGTGGGGAGGTGAAATTTCCCTTTCCCAGTTCTGCTGATAAGAGAAGTTAAAAACAACAGTGCTACTGACTGCGTGTTCAGTGTGTGTGCCAAAAAAAACATTCTGAGATATCATGATTCTCTATAGTTTAGAGCAGTGTTTCTCAGCCTGGGGGTCAGGACCCCTGGGTGGGTTGTGAGGGGGTGTCAGAGGGGTTGCCAAAGACCATCAGAAAACTCAGTATTTTCAGTTGGTCATGGGGTACTGTGTCCACAGTGCTCTGGATGTAGGTGAACTACAACTCCCAAACTCAAGGTCAGTCCCCACCAAACCCATCCAGTATTTTCCGTTGGTTGTGGGAGTTCTGTGTGCCAGGTTTGGTTCAAGTCTATTGTTGGTGGAGTTCAGAATGCTCTTTGATTGTAGGTGAACTATAAATCCCAGCAACTACCACTCCCAAGTGATAAAATCAATGCCCCTCCAACCCACCAGTATTCAAATTAGAGCTTATCAGGTATTTGGTCCAGTGAATGAAAATACATCCTGCATATCAGATATTTACATTACAATTCATATCAGTAGCAAAATGACAGTAATAGTATGAAGTAGCAGTGAAAATAATGTTATGGTTGGGGGGCAGCACAACATGAGGATGAGGAACTGTATTAAGGGGTCAGAGCATTAGGAAGGTTGAGAAACACTAGTTTAGCGAGTCAATCTATACCATATGTTGGGTTATCCTTATCACCACCTGTCATACTTGACTTCTGCATACTATCTCTGGTCTCTTTTCTTCAGTTTTGTCTACTGTTGCTCAGAACAGTATTTGGCTGCCTGACTCACTTGAGGGTGGTAGTTGCAGGATGAGTCTGTGGAGTGGAGTCTCTGGGAGACACCATTGTCTGGCAGCTGGCTCTCCCTTTCCCAGGATGCTTCATACCCGAGGGAGCATGGGGAGAGAGGGCTGGTGAAGCAGCTAATGAATTTGAGCTAGCAGGTTCAAACTCATTGACTCATTGGACTGGAATAACATTCATAACTCAACAGGCAGATAGGTCAATGCAGAGATCCTGTTATGTATTGCTGACCAACCATACTGTCAGATGTAACCAATAAAATTGTTGCTGTTGGCATTCCATTGTACATTATTTTTTGAATGGTTCTTAGAATGGAGCAAAACTTCTATTTTAATCTTCATTTTCATAGTATATAATTTAACAGACGTTCAAAATACTTCTCAATAAACATTAATCTTTAAAAAGCCTTCTAATGTAGCTACTCATTTAACCCGAAGCAGTGATCTCTGTTACATTTTCAATTATTGCACCTGTGGACCAAATTTGGAGAGTAGTACAAGTCAATGGACACTGTGTTAGGTAGATGGATGATTCAGAGCAAGGTACCTGGATAGTATGCAGCCATTCCTACCCTTAAGCTATTTGGTATGTCTCTCACTATATTGAATAAATGGAACATTGAACATTTACTATGCATGTTCCTTTTTGACAGACAGATGGGTTAATCTACATCTTTCCAGATTGCTGGCTGCCTTACTAAGTTGGTCAGTTTTTACATATGAAGGACTGGCTCTGGATAACCGACTTTTCTATGGGATGTTTATGGCTGTGTCCATATTATCTTCACATTTCTTTCTCTAAGCGCACTCTTCTTGGCCTTCTAGATAAGATCAGTTAAGCATAACTCTAGCCAAAAATACACATCCTTTAGCTTTGGACACCCCTGTAGTGTTTGCTTTGCTGTCTATGCCCTTGTTCAGAAGATTTCACTTCACTTTCTGTCACCGTGATAATTGGATTTTGAAAAAAAAATGTTGTGAAAACAAGGATTGGTGATAAAGCTTCAATGGAGACACCTTTTCCCCATGACAACTCTTTCAGGAGTGAACTTCCCTTCCTAGGGGTTAGATTTCTATCACTTCCTGTTGTCTCACCCCCGTTCCTAACTATGAGTCATTTATAAGTCAGGTGTTTGTAACTTGGGGACTGCCTGTAGTTTGCTGTGTATTGTGGAAGAATGGCTGGAGAAATAGTATTGGAAACCAATTATGCTGTTTCCGGGATTCATTCCAGTGGGGTGTTGTAGAAATATGCCCACATAAAAACATAGTTTCTTAATGAATATTTGTTCATAAAATAAACATGCTGCTGCAAGTAACTCATCACCAATAAACATATTTCTGATATACCTGATTTCATTTGATACTGTTTCCATTTTTAAAAATTATTTCTGAATAACTTTTTGTGTAATTGTTGTCACATTTTTTTTTTGCAGTGGCGATGAGTTGCTTTCTTTTCTTCTGAAACTAAACAGACAGTGTATTCATCTTACGACTGCCGTACAGAATGTGATTATTCAGTTCCCTACAGATGCTCACAAGGTATTTGTGAAGAAAAATTGTCATAATATCAATTTATGTTATTGTCTATGTTAACCAAATGACCCTAAATAATACTCCTTTTTGAGGCAATTGGATACAAACAAGAAATAGGAGGCAACCAGATACAAACAAGAAATAGTCTTCTGTTTCCATGTTTGCTCAAAGAATCAAAGCAGTCTTTTGAAAATTTAGTACTTTATCATTACATCTAATTTAGAATATATCAATTACTGTTTATTCATGCTCAGACAAGGCAACGAAATAAAAGCCAACAATATAAAATGGTATAAAAGGACTGCGGTATAAAACATTATCCAAATACTATATAAAACAGTTGGCATAAATACCTTGTCTGTTAAAATTCAATACCATTTTTGTGTGTCAGGAGCAACTTGCGAAACTGCAAGTTGCTTCTAGTGTGAGAGAATTGGCTGTCTGCAAGGACATTGTCCCAGAAACGTCCAGATGTTTGATGTTTTACCATCCTCTGGGAGGCTTGTCTCATGTCCCTGCATGAGAAGCTGAAGCTGACAGACGCTCCCTGGATTTGAATTGCTGACCTTTCAGTCAGTAGTCCTGATGGCACAAGGGTTTAACGCATTGTGCCACCAGGGCTCAATGCCATTAAAATACTACATAACAATAAGGATAAAATTATTTAGCCTAAAGCATCTTCACAATGTTTTAAAAAGAATTAACTAGATGAGTTTCTCATGTCAAGATCTTGTTGCTTTTGCTTTCATGTAAATTACTTAAATATTAATTTGACATTTGAAAAATTGTAATATATTTTTAAATATATTTCTTGGATAAGGTAAAGGTTGGTAAAGGTTGTCCATTGACATTAAGTCCAGTCATGTCTGACTCTGGGCTGTGGTGCTCATCTCCATTTCTAAGCTGAAGAGCCGGCATTGTCCATAGACACCTCCAAGGTCATGTGGCCGGCATGACTGCATGGAGTGCCGTTACCTTCCCGCCGGAGTGGTACCTATTGATCTACTCACATTTGCATGTTTTAGAACTGCTAGGTTGGCAGAAGCTAGGGCTGACAGTGGAAGCTCACACCACTCCCCGGAATCGAACCTGCGACCTTTCGGTCAACAAGCTCAGCAGCTCAGCGCTGTAACCCACTGTGCCACCGGGGGCTTCTTGGATACATTGCAGAAAATCAATGTAAAATATAAAATAAGATAATTTTACAGTATAGAATACTTCTTAAATGGTAAATTTAAATACCAGATTTAAGTTCACATTAAGCTGTGTCACCTACATATTAAATAGTCTTGATGATTAATTTGCTGTTGGAAGAACATAATTTACCAGATAAGAGACTGAAAGAAAATTGATTGTAATAGTGTTAATTAGAACTGAGTACCAGTTAACAGATGTATCAAAGTTCTGTTTCAGTTGTCTTGTATAAACTATGTATCAGCTGTACAATATTGTTTTTGTTTTTGTTGTTTTGTTTTTTTTTAAAAGCTGGTCCTTCAATGGAGTCCACCTGAGAGCCTCACTAAATCTTGTGAAGATCTCATTTGCAATGTGGTAGATCTAAATGGAGAAGCTTGTAAATTAAGGAAGCTCATGCAAGAGGTATATAAATTAACAACCAGAATTTTTTTTGGTTTTGCTTATCCAACGTTCTGCCGGCCCGTTTATGTTGGATATGCAAGACTACTGTAATCACTAAAAGAAATTGCAGACTTTGACGTAATAAATATGGGCATGAAGTCATATTTTTAAAATTATGCTGTATTTAAGTGTATTTTAGCTAAATTTTGTGAATATACCTGCAAAAGGGGGTGGGGTGAGAGAAAGAATTAAAAGGAGATAATGGTGGTGATGACGAAAGTTAAAACATTTCTCCCAGAAACCTAAAATCATAGAGTTGGAAGAGACCTTGTGGACCATCCAGTCCACCCCCCTGCCAAGAAACAGGAAAATTGTATTCAAAGCACCTCTGACAGATAGCCATCCAGCATCTGCTTAACAGCCTCCAATGAAGGAGCCTTCACCACACTCTGGGGCAGAGAATTCCACTGCTGAACAATTCTAACAGTTAGGAAGTTCTTCCTAATGTTCAGGCAGAATATCCTTTCCTGCAGTTTGACACCAATTTTCCATGTCTTAGTCTCCAGGGCAGCAGAAAACAAGCTTGCTCCCTCCTTCCTATYACTTCCCCTCACATATTTTATACATGGCCATCACATCTCCTCTCAGCCTTCTCTTTTCCTAGCTAAACATGCCCAGCTCTTTAAGCCACTCCTCATAGGGTTTGTTCTCCAGACCCTTGATCATTTTAGTCACCCTCCTCTGGACATATTCCAGCTTGTCAACATCTCCCTTCAATTGGTTTTTACTGGCATGTTAATCTATTAATTTATTGTTAATTTTTACTGACGATGTACAATGTTTTAAAATAATTTTATTGTGAATTGCAATTTTTATGGTATTTATGCTGTTAACATCCTCTGATGCTCATGTGAGGCCGCGCTGAGTCCCCCTTGTGGGGAGAAGGGCGGGATATAAATATTTTAAATAAATAAATAAATCGTGATGCCCAGAATTGGACACAGTATTCCAGGTGTGGTCTGACCAAGACAGAATAGAGGGCTAGCATGACGTCCCTGGATCTAAACACTATACTCCTATTGATGCAGGCCAAATCCCATTGGCTTCTTTAGCTCCTGCATGACATTGTTGGCTCATGTTTAACTTGTCCGCGAGGCCTCCAAGATCTTTTTCACACTTACTGCTGTCAAGCCAGGCGTCCATCATTCTGTATCTTTGCATTTCATTTTTTCCTGTCTAACTGGAGTATCTTGCATTTATCTCTGTTGAACTTCATTTTGTTAGTTTTGGCCCATCTCTCAGATCTGTTAAGGTCATTTTGAATTCTGCTCCTGTCTCCTGGAGTATTGGCCATCCTTTCCAATTTGGTGTTGTCTGCAGACGTGGTGATCATGCCTTCTAACCCTTAATATAAGACCATAGAGAATATAGTCCTCAGATGTGGAAGCCACACAAGCCTTTCATATTGTTCTTTAGGAATGAGCCATGCAAGTGTAGCCCACAAGTTGCATATGTAGCTCTTGGAATCCCCAAGTGTGTCCTTGGGACTCTGCAGAAAACTGCAGATTCTCAATTAAAAATAGTCCCAGACCTCTGTTCTAGATTATCAGTCTTATACAGAAGAGTTGATTTTTTTATCAACTTATGGTAAATCTTGTCCCATGTGAATATGGTTTCTGGTGGAGAAAAGCAGATGGAAATGTGTTATCCTTTAAAGCAGATCCATACTAGGAATTTTAGATACTTTAATTTTGAAGATGCCTTGCTATGATATAGACACCTCATCATGTTCTTGCTTCATAATTTTTCTCTAGTTACACGATGTGCAAAAGGACAATCCTTGTCAAATACAGCCTTTGGCGGTGAAGAGGAGATGGAAAAAGACTTTTTTAAAAATGGCAGCAATGACAGCAATTGGATCCGGATGTGTCTTTTTTATCAGCAAGTTAACTTTAAAAATCATTACAGCTTAGCCAGAGCAATCTTTACATCTTTTAAACAGACCTATTAAAATGTAGTGTGCCCCTCCCCCATATTAAGAACTTACAATAAAAATCCTATTCACTCATGTTATCATTCATTGTTAATTCAGTTTATGTCAGTACAAGTTCTTTGATCTCCACTCCTTAGAAAGCAAGACATAACGGATTCTACAAAATATTGACAATCTGTCTGCATTTATAATTTTGTATATAAAATTCAGTTTTTGTTTTTATGGCAAATAAATCTTGGTTATTGTGTTAGCCTACTACAAATTCATTTGTGTCTGTCCTCTTTTTAAGTGGGCTGAATATTGCTGAATAACAATCAAATATTGCAAGCCATCGCTTATTGAAGAGAACAGTTGAATGTTTTGATGTCCTTCATTTTATAAAAATTAAAATGCTAGTCTTTGCTTTTTCCAGCACGCTGACATTTGTCCGCCTGTCTTTCCAAGAAATTTGCAGGATGTTTTGGAGGCCATGCTGATGGAATCGTCCCAGGAGTTGAGTGTGACGTCTGTTGACAAACCACGTTTTACAGGCATATAAAAGGGTTGGGAGGACAATATCTTTATCAACAAGCACCTTAGTATCCCTACAGATGTCCCGATCCTCAAACACTCTCTGCTTCATTTGGAAAAATGCTGCACTCGCAGAGCTCAGGCGGTTGTTGTATTTCAGTGTCAATGTTGACTTTTGTTGAGAGATGGCTGCCAAGGTAGCAGAAATGGTCAACATTTTCTAACATTAGACCATTAAGTTGTATTTCTGGCATTGCAGAGGAATTGGCTGGCGACTTCTGGTAGACCACTTCAGTTTTCTTAGTGTTCACTGAGAGACCGAGCTCTTGTATACTTCTGCAAAGATGTTGCTTGTAGGTCTTCCGAATGCGCTCAGATTACTTTAACATAGGGATATTGGAGCTCTATAACAGATGTTGTGAATTTGGTTTTGGCTTTCGTTCTGCTGAGGTTAAATAGCTTGCCGTCTGTCCAATAGATGATTACAACTCCGCTGGACTGGTCACATTGTCGGTGGCTAGTAACTGCTTTGGGAGATCACCGTTTCCCAAAGCAGGTACTATACTCAACTCAAGAACGGAAAACAGAATTTTGATAGACAGGAAAAGAGATTTAGAGATGTGCTTAAAGCTAACCTTTAAAACTGTGGCATAGACACCGAGAACTGGGAAGTCCTGGAACGTGAATGCTCTAACTGGAAGTCAGATGTGACCAGTAATGGTGTGGAATTCAAAGAGGCATGAATGGAAGGTGAAAGGGAGAGATGTGCCAAGAGGAAGGCGCGTCAACCCAACCCTGACTGGGACTGCCTTCCACCTGGAAACCGATGTCCTCACTGGAAGAACATGCGGGTCAAGAATAGGGCTCTAAACTCACCTACGTATCCACCGCCAAGACACTACACTTGGAAGTGTACTTGGACAACAAGGGATCATGCTTGGACAACAAGGGATCACCTAAGTAAAGTAAAAATTAAAAGCTTTATTTTGCAGTGAAGATTGCCCACACTACAGCCATCACCTAGACCAGGGGTCCTCAAACCTTTTAAACAGAGGGCCAGGTCACAGTCCCTCAAACTGTTGGAGGGCCGGATTATAATTTGAAAAAAAAAAAAGAATGAATTCCTATGCACACTGCACATATATTATTTGTAGTGCAAAAAAACCACTTAAAAACAATACAATACTTAAAATGAAGAACAATTTCAACAAATATAAAATTAGTATTTCAATGGGAAGCGTGGGCCTACTTTTGGCTGATGAGATAGGATTGTTGATGTTGTGTGCTTTCAAGTCGTTTCAGACTTGACCCTGAGCGAGGGCTGGGTAAATTACCTTGGAGGGCCGTATCCGGCCCCTGGGTCATAGTTTGAGGACCCCTGACCCTAGACCCTGGTTGTTTTTTTCTTGCACTGGAATGATTTCATATGAAGAAAGAATCATGTGCAGAGTCATAAATCTTGTCTGAAAGAACAAACCTTCCTCAGTCTTAAAATATGCCTTTGTGATGCTTACTGTAAAGATTATCAGAATGGAATGAAAACAACATATAAAATGGGTCTGCATTTAGGGAAGCTGGGATCATATACCTTAGATCATTGGACAGCAGTTGGCTTTGCAAACAATGTAGTAGAAGAACGGAGGGTCATAGGGAGACATAGCTTGCAAGGAAAATTGAAAAATGTCAGGAACATTCTTATATTCAAGCTATGGAGGCTATTATAGACCCATGAAATTTAAAGCATTTTTTTCTGACCTAGAAGTTTCATCATCCAATACTATAATTTCATTTTGGATTGTCTTATAATGTTTTCACGGTAGTGTCAGAAACTTTCTTTGCCCAAGTTTTCTGTGTCCTTAGAAGTTTTTTCCCCAGTTGGGAAGGTTTCAAGAGTTTTATTTCTACCAAATCTGGGCAGAGGAACAGGACATGATTCTGCCATTTCCCTAGGCTGGGTCTGTAAAGTAATTTCTAGCTCTTCAGCTCTAAAAGACAAAAAATGGCCATCAACAACATGGGGAGAAGCCAGACCACCATATAAAAGCACCACAGGAATGGGAGCAACTAATATTGGAACAACCCAAAGGTTTGGCCAGTAGAAAAGCTTTGTACTTGACACTGAAAATACAGTTCATGGCAAGGAAAGCCTTTATGTGCACAAAATTCCACTGAAAAAATGCCGAATTTTGTGGTCAGTTTGGCATTTCATTAGTAGTAGTTACGGAAATTCTCCTTCCTCCCTCTCCCCTTCACTCTTTATTACTAGGTTACTTGTTCTTTAAATATGTCGGTTTTGCTGCACCATCATCGCCAAAGCAACCACCATGAAGAAGCAAAATTGTATTTAAAAAAGGGTTCATCTGGAGCACAATTTTGCCATTTGGGTGGACTGAGATATATTTTTGTTGGCTGGAAGGGAGGCCGAGAGGAATACAACTGGTTAAGTTACATGAAAAGGCAAACAAATGTTACAAGAATTAGTCTGTATTTTTAAAAAAAATCTATGCAAGCCTTACATGAGAGGTATTGGTAGTCCTCAATGACAAATAATGTGACCTCTCATTCCCTCGCTTCCTCCCTAATTCAATTGTAAATAAACACAGCTTTTCAAAGCAGTTCTTCCAACAGGCAAAAGAATAGTAAAGGTTTTCCCTGACATTAAGTCTAGTCGTGTCTGACTTGGGGGGGGGGGGTACTCATCTACATTTGTAAGCCGAAGAGCCAGCATCCGTAGACACCTCCAAGATGATGTGGCCAGCGTGATTTGATTGCAAAAGAATCTCCAAATAAAAGTCAGGTATACCAACAATAACAGTCAAGTTTTGGTTGTAGATAAGTTTGTTGTTTATGCTGTTTCTTTTGGTGTTTTTTTTTTGTCATCACAAGGACTTGTAGATGAGTTAAAACCTTGTTCCTGTGATCCTTGGAAGGACCAGGGACACAGAGGCCCCTTTGATTTTTGGGTAGTTGCAGTGACAATCTCAACCTTGGCATTCATCTTGCTGGAGCTGTTCTGAAGACTAAAGAAAACACAAGAGGAGAAATGACGGAGCCCCGGTGAAGCTTCATTGCATTGGTCTGTGAAAATGGTGAGCTTGAAAACATTTTCCTAAAGTAACAAAGCCTAAGTAAAATACTGAAACTCAACATTCTACTTGGATTGATATCATTTTTTGTAAAACTGAAAGCAGAAGAATCCTCCTTTTCTGCAGTTTCCCAACTTCTCCACTGAGGGAAGAAATGTACAGGTGACGGTCCAGTACGAAGTGTACCTGATGTTGATGAAGAAGAAAAACAAGCATCAACAATGATATCAAACAAAAGATAGCATAGATCAGTGGTTCCTAACCTGTGGGTCCCCAGGTGTTTTGGCCTATAACTCACAGAAATTCCAGCCAGTTTACCAGCTGTTAGGATTTCTGGGACTTGGAGGCCAAAACATCTGGGGACCCACAGGTGAGAACCACTGGCATAGATGAATAAACTTGAGAAACCTGTGCACACTGGTGTTTAGTTAATGTGTGTTTTATCTACTACCAGTTTATGTTATAATGTGTGGGTTGCATACCTTGGGGTTTAAGGGGAAAACCGTTAAACATGCGAGGGATGGGGAGGCATGTAGATAGACAAATATGGTTAATTTTTTAGATGTATCTACTGTAGAAAAACTGGGTTTTCTATAGAGGCAGACAGGTGGGGGCAGTAATCTGCTGCTGAATGGTTTCACTGTATACTATATACCAGGAATCTGGAGGTCAGTTTCTCAAGTGTAGGACACATTGAGCCCATGTGTCCCAAACCTGGAAGTACTATGAAGTCTACTTCTTGTTGGATCAAAGGATTTTGTGTAGGGTTTTTTTTTTTTGGTGTGTTCTACCACTGGGTTACATTTGATTACAAGAAACTGCTAAAATTCATATAAAAACCATTACATGCCTGACATAACAGGGTCATTTTAATCTGGTGTCTTAAGACATCAGATGTAGTGCTCTGAGCTGACATGGGCTGGGAGAGATCCAACAATAGAAGGATTTGTTAGTAGCTGAAGAAAGATGAATGTACCCATTGTAGTCATGGCATTTGAGTAGGTAATTCATATCCTGGTCCTAGATAATCTAAAGCACTGCTGCTTAAACTGCATCCCAACCCCAAAACGGAGTTCTCTTAGCCCAATGTTTGGGTCATGAAAAAATATGGCAACAGTAAAAGGTTTCTGAATGTCACCCATTTGTAATAGTCTGTTGGCAGCAATGTGCAATGTTTGCAGTGGACTTTGCAGAAAATGCTTCGGCTATATTCCACAAAAAGGAAAACCAGCCTGTTTAGCAAGCTTTTCAAATACTGATTTATTATCATTAAATGTTTGATTTTTTAAAATATATACTCAAGGTCATATAAAAATTTCTCAGAAGGAAAGTGGTCATGAGTGGAAAAAGATTAAGAATTACTGAACTACAGGCTAAAGCATACACTTTGGGTATGTTTGGAGAAACTAATTCGCAAAGCTCTTCAAAAGATGTTCACCTCTTCAATTCTGAGTGAGCCATCTTGCAACACATCCTGATAAGTAGACACAGTACAATTTCTCCTTTGAGTTGTTTGTATTTGTATAGTTTTAAGAAGCACACAGGGAAGGAGGAAGCGAGCAGGTTGGCAATAGAGAGGGGAAACGGATGCACAGGAGATAACTTGAGATTGTGTGTAGAGAAGACATAATTTTGGCTGGAGCATCTTTTGGCACTCCAGGTAACA